TTCCAGGAACAGTTCGGGCGTGCTGCGAATCATCGTCCTCCTGCTTCTGATCTGCCTTCGCCCTCGCCGTCCTCGCTGTCGTCATCGTCTTCGTATTTGACATATCGATCCTTCCCGATACGTTCTCACAGTTTACCCAGGAGCCGTGCTCTCGCCTCGGCGCTTGCTGTACTTGTCGACTGTGCATTTTCCTATCCGATCCATGTGCAGGAGCTGTCACGTCGCGTGTACGCCTGTCACAGGGAACTGTCGGTGAGTATTCGCATGATTTTGAGCGTGGCGCAGGGCTCGACGCTGGAACATGGCCTCTGTAGTCGTCTCCGTCAAGCTCTGTTCAGACTTCCCGTCTCGTTTCTCAGGTGGGACGCGTTGCTCTCCCCTGGGATACTGTTCGCCACCGAGCGCACCCGTAGCCGCCTCGAAAGATGCTGCGCCCATGTCCAGACTGCCTGCTCACGCGTCCTGGTCGTGAAGCGGGACTGGCAGCGGTGAGCGTCTTCCTTGAACTGCTGCGGCATCAACCCCTGGCTCTCGTCTGCACCAGTCCGTGGGATGTTTGGCTCTTTGGGGGCCCACTTCGGCGCGCAAACTCCTTGGATGCCGAAGCGGTTCCCCTCTCCATGACTCTGCCTAAGCGCCTCCATGTGCGGGCACTGCCGCTGCTCCGGTCGAGCGTCGCGCGCGCGCGCATCCCCCCCCCGCGGCTTAGAGGGAAGGCGGGGTCCTGGTCGTCACTTCGGAGGATCCTCGCCCTTGCCAGTCGTGTCCTTGCCAGATCTCGTTGGCCATCGAGGCCTCAATTCTGAGGCCGTGCGATCACTTCGTCGATGCTCCGTCTTGCTGAGGGTGGTCGCGCCGGCAAGCAGCTACGATGGAGCTGTGCCCACTCCACTGCCCAGGGCCGTCAACGCCACGAGGCGCGCTGTCCCCTACCTTACCTTGTCGTGGGTCCTGCCGTCGTGCACGTAGGCCTAGAGCTGGCGCAGTTCCAACTCCACGTATCCTTCGTGTGTACATAGATAGCATGACGAGAAGCTCCTGGTCACTCTTGCACCGTCCAAGCTCGAAATCCAGCGTGGACGCCGTGCTCCACAGCGACTGCCGCTGCTCACCTCCATGGTTGCCGTGAACTGGTGCTGCAACCAATGGCGCGCTCCCGCGGAGCCCGCCGTCCTCATGTTCGCATAGATTCCACGCTTGCCCGCTCGATATCCGTTGATGCCATTGCGGCCTCTCCTGTTAAGGCACGCGCGCTGCCAGCACCGCGCTGATGGCTGGGTCGAGCGCGCTCAATCCGGCTCCGTCTGATGCGCCTCCCCCCAGAAGTGCGGTTCCCACGAAGGGTTCGTGGCTCGCTGCTGTGTGCCACCTGCTCGACACCCTCCCTTCCACGGCCGTTGTGCAACAGCCGAGGCTGGCGCCTTCCCTTCCACTCCGGGCGCAACAAAGAACCACAACCAAAACGAAACAGATTTTTGTCGGGAGGGCCCCTTCGGGGCAGAACCCAGCGTACCGCTCGGGAAGCGATGTACGATCAGATTTGTGCACTGCATGTTCGGGTCGGACGCGCGCCTCCAGTATGTGTCCTCCTGCGTCTCAGTTTCCCCCCACGTGATCGTTCTTTATTCATTGTTTTGCCGATCGGCGCGGGCCCTCGCACCCCCCCCCCCTGGAGTGGATCCTGGCTGTTTTTTGGCGCCTGTTTCGAGCAGGGGGAGCCCCCCCCTCCACGATGGACGCCCTGTTGCAAACCGTCGCATTCAGCAGAGGTCCGGAGCCGGACCCCTCCCCTCCCCCCCCCCTCCTCCGCCCAGTGTCGACACGCCGAATGAAAGAGCGCTCGATGCGCCGCCTCCTCGGAGGGCGCTTCCTCGGCGGGTGGCCGTGGTCGCCTGACACCCCCCCCGCAGCCTCCTGCGGCCGCCGTGCCGGGGTGGTGTGTGGGGGGGGGGGGGGGCCGCGGCGCCCGCCCCCCGCGCCGCAGGGCCGGACCCTGAACGCTGTTTTGCTGGGCTTCGGCCGTGTCTTGTTTTTCGCTCTGGAAGGGAGGTGTCAGGTCTTGCGCCCACCAGGAAACAAAACCGAAGCTCCGACAAAATATTTTTGCATTTTTTTGAAATTTGTTTTGGTGGCGCCGAAGGGTGGCGTTGTCGCGCGCGCGTCCCAACTTGGACCGGCGCCAACCGCCACCCACCTCAGGTGCAGGAGAGCAGGTCGAGCAAGCCGAGCAGCAGCACGAAGACAGAGCGAAGCACAGCGTCCATGTCCATCCCTGTCGCGCCGCGGGAATCGCGCGGAGCGGCGCGCGGTGCTGGGGCCCGGGGCTGCCGACGGGGCAGCCGCCGGGCGCGCGTCGAGAGGGGCGCCGCGGGCGAGATTGCCCACGTTCGGAGGAGGAAGAGGTACGGATATCGCTGCCCCTCGTCCGTCTTCGCCTCCTTGGGCCTCCTGGGAGGCCCTCGTCGCCACCGATTGGATGCGCCTCGAAATGCGGGTCAGTACGCACCCTGGGAGAGGTCCGGGGCGTAGCGGTATGGGCACCTGTTGGCTTCCTCGAGGAGGCGGGAGGAGGAGGAGAGGAGGAGGAGCAGGAGGAGCAGGAGGAGGAGGAGGAGGAGGAGGAGGAGGAGGAGGAGGAGGAGGAGGAGGAGGAGCAGGAGCAGGAGCAGGAGGAGCAGGAGGACCGGTGTAAGCCCAAGGCTCATCAACGATGCGCCTTTACGCTCTGTTCAGAACGCGCCCCGTGAGAGGTCCGGGGAGTAGCGGTGTGGGTACCTTTTGGCTCCCCCACGGGGGCGCTGGGGGCCAGGGCCCACGTGGGGCGCGCCCGCTCTCGACGGGAGCGGCGGCAGCCAGGGCTGCCTGGGGCCTCCTCTGCGCGCGCTCGCCTCGCGCGCCGCCTTTGGCCTTCACTTGCCAGTCTGCCGTTCTGGCTTGCGCGCTGCATGAGCGTTCCTCCGCCCGACGAAGCGCCCGACCGCCGCGGCCGCGACGGTTTGCACCCGCAGAGCGCGCGAACGAGCGAACGGCGAGCGAGAGCAGGCGGCGGCAGCCAGGCCAGCGGCGACGGCACTATGTATAGGCATCGCCTTGCCTCGGTGCCGATCTTGAGGGCTCCCTCAGTTTTCTGAGGGCACATCCCTAAGGTTGTCGTCGCTTTTCGCTTGCCGATTTTGGGGATAGGGATAAGTTCGAGTCTTGTTATCCATGGGGGAACAAAAATCTAGGCCTCCCAGATGGGGTCGGAGTAGATGGGGCCAGAGGATCGCGACGCATCGCCGATGCATCGCCGATGTATCGGCGATGCGGCTCGATGCTGAGCCCGCTTTTATCTACGCCGACGTCGCCGATGCATCGCCGACGTCGTCCTCTTCGCACGCTTGTGCTACGGACCTGGACGCATGGATGGTCTACGACTCTCCGCATGCACGAGCCTATCGGGCACGCCTGTTATATTCGTGGCTTCCCCGACGCAGACCGGAAACACTACTTCGAGTGCGACAGGTTTTGGGACCTCTTCGAAAACTGGCCTCGTTCGAGCCCATCATCTTCGACACGCGACCGGCTGGGGCTGAATGCGCCTATCGGCCTCCTCTGGGCGGCAGCTGCCCACAAGGTTTTCCACGCCATGAAGGATCATTTTCTGATTGGCGGGCGTCCGCCAGCCGTGTTGCACACTGCCGTCTGTGCCGCGCGCCTCGCGTGCCTCGAGCTGTAACTTGGACGGATCTCCCCCAGGGATTCGTGATCTACTCGGTCCCCATCTGGGAGGCCTCGAAACAACTGTAGAAACTTCCGGAGGTCCTCGCGGATTTCTCGGATCGGCGCCGGAGCCCCTTGGCGGCGCCCTCGGGCGCCGCTCCCTGGCGCGCTCCGCGCTCCAGGGAGGGGGCCCAGCGCCGATCCTAGAAACCCTCGCGGACCTCCAGCAGTTTACCCAAGGGGCTTACGCCATTCCTCCGACCCCCCAGAAGGCACGAGTGCTTGCGACGATCTTGGAAATTATCGCGTGGGTCTGGAGCTTCTTGCGCGGACCTCCAAAGGTTTATGCTTGTGCCACTTCACGACCGAGAGCTGCGCGCGCAGCCGCTCCACCTCGTCCTGCCCAGTGCCACTGGCCGCCACCGGCTGCCGAGGAACTCCATCGGCAGCATCGTCGCGCCTTCAGCGCGAGGGTCCAGCCCAGGCCGTGCTGGACCATGGCACCGCGCCCCGTCGCCAGGGTCATTACAGCATGTGTATAAGACCTCGCGGAGAATCCGTTTGGCGAGATTGGTGTGCCGTTCTCTGCGCCTACTCTGACGCGAGTCATGGCGGATCGATTCTCTCTTCTCGGTGTGGCGAAAGGTTCCCGAATCTGCCCTGGGGGGCCATCCACGAGCGGCGCTAGGCCGTGATATATTCGGTTTGACCCGAACCTTTTGATATGGGTGAACTGCTGCCATGCCAGAGCAATGCTCCTGGACGCTCTGCACGAATTACCTGTTCTCAAGAGCCCACTTCTTCAATTCAATCCGACTAAGCACTATAAGGTGCAATGATGTGAATGCCTTGTTGTACAATGGTGTGTCATGCTACTCTATGCCATGTATTGTGACGCAATGCGACGCTATGCTATGCTACGAAGCGCAGTGCTTTCTGAAGTACTCGAATGCTATGCTATGTCACGCGGTACGTCATATGGGATGCAGTGCCAAGCCATGTAGTGCGCTACCATGCCATGTCACGCAGTGCTACTCTATGCTACCCCATGCCTGCTATGCTTTGCAATTCCAGCCATGGGGGGTGACATGCAGTGACGTGCTATGCTACGCCATGCTACGTGTTACAACGCAATGTCTTGCCATTTAGATGTTCTCGCTGGTGCTGCGATCTGACATGGTATGCTATGCAATGCAATGCAATTGTATGGCCAGACGTTGCTGTGATACGCCCCTGGTTGGGTCGTTTCATGGTCATTCGCGGGAGCAGCCACGACTGTATATATCAAATCTCCATAGACTCTTTCGGTTCGGGCCCGCTCGGGCTGTGTCCGATCAACACGGACGTTCATGGTGCATCGTACACTCGTTTTATATCGCAATTCCGCCGCTGGGGGACAGGCCATGAGGAGCGCAGGGCTGCTCACCGTGAGCGCTTCACTCCTGTGCCTCGGCTCGGCCATCCACGTCAAGGCCCCGGGCCTCGACGCCGAGGGCGAGCCGGCCTCCGCGCACCGGCCGGAGGACCTGCGGAGCGAGCTGCTGGGCCAGGGCGAGCTGCTGGCCCGCATGCTGGACGGGCTCTGGTCCGGCGCCGATGATGCGGCTGCGCCCGCGAAGAAGCTTCACCACAAGGGCCAGGGAGCGAAGGACGCGGCCCACAGTTCGCCCCCCAAGGTCAGCAGGCTTCAGGTGGTGGGCCCTTTCAACAGCGGGACCAACCTGCTGTCCAAGCTCTTGTCTCTGAACATCCCCGAGGAGGTCATGGACACCGCCTGCCCAGTGCTGAAGAGAAAGGTCGACAGCTGCATTTTCTGGAAACACACGCCCCCGGCGGCGTTGCCATCTGAGGTGCAGGCCATGTTCGTCGAAGGATGGCAGTCACACATGATGGTCAACGTCAAAGCTCCGCCCAAGACTTGGCCGCCTAAGGATCCCAAGAGAGACGTCGTGCTGGTGGCGATGGTGCGGAGCCCCATGGGATTCATGCAGGGCATGAGCAAAGCCCCGTACGATATGAGACACTGCCTTTACCGGAACGACTGGAGGAATTCTTCACGCTTCGCGTATCTCCGCCACCCCTGGTATCGCTCCCGCGCCATTTTGGCTGCGCCCCAACCTTGGTTGGCTAATTATGCATGTGCTCGCTCCTGGGCCTGTTTCCTGGCAGCTGCAGCCCGCACCACCTCTCGCTTCCGGTCCGCTTAGGTGCCGCTTAGGCCTCCAGTTTGCCGGCGCGTTAGGCAATTAGGTTCGCGCGTGGCCCGCCCGTCCCGTTTGACGCCGCCTGCGCCTTCGCTTGCGGCTGCGACAAAAAAGTATCTCCACCACCCCATTCACGAACACTGCCCATGAGAGGGGGCGGTGAAACAGAGCGGGCAACCAGGGTGAAACAGAGAGATCTCTGGAGCGGGTGGCCTTGGATGGCCTCTTCGGGCCATCCCTTGGGCCCGCGTGGGGGCGAGGGAAGGAGGAGGAGGAGGAGGAGGAGGAGGAGGAGGAGGAGGAGGAGGAAGACGAGGAGGAGGAGGAGGAGGAGGAGGAGGAGGAGGAGGAGGAGGAAGAGGAGGAGGAGGCGGAGGAGGAGGAGGAGGAAGACGACGACGATCACGACGAGGAAGAGGAGGAAAAGGAAGCAGAAGACGATGAGGGCAAGGACGAGAACGAGGACGATCAGAAGGAGGAGGGCAACGAGGACAGGGACAGAGTCATTAAATCGCCCCCTGGAGCCTTCTTGGGACTCTTTTGGTGGATCTTGGGGTCCATTTAGGGTTCTGTTGGGGGGTCTTTCTTGGGGCTCCCCGGTTGGGAGCCCTGGAGGGCATCTTGGAGTCATCTTGGAAGGCGTCGGTGGAAAGAGAGGGGTGGCAACGTTTGCCCTCCCCCCCCTCTGGGGTCATCAACCTCGTTTCTTGGGGCCCTCTTGGGACGCCCTTGGTCCTACTTGGGTGCTCTTGGGGCCGTCTTGGGGGCCTCTTGAGCCCCTCTTGGAGCTCTCTTGCTTGGGCCATCTTGGGGCCACCTTGAGGTCTCAAACGCGGATTCACAAATGTGAAGCGTAGTTAGTCTCTCTGCACCCTCCCTCCGCACTTGCTTGCATCCGTCTCACCTCCCCCTCTGCTCCCCTTGTCTTCTCCGCAGCCTTTTGGGTCACAGGGGGGACCGCTTGTGGCAGCGTGGCGAAGTCTGAGGGCACGATGCTCTGGCAACCCCTCCCCGCCCCTTCCCCCTCCCCTCCTTCCCTCGTCCCCTTCTGGCCCAGGGGAGAGGGACGACCGGGCGGACGACGACGCCCAGCGCTACCAGGCTCAAGCTCGACGTGCCCACATTCGTCCGGCTCCTGGCCCGCGCGCCCCGCTGGGCGCATGGCCCCGCGCCTGCATAGGTGCGCGCCGGTGCGCTCCCCGCCGCGGGTCCTTCACGGCAGGCTCAAGACCCAGGGCCGCCGGGGGCAGGCCCGTCAGGCGCCCGCGCCCCGCGCCGCCGCCGCTGCGGCAGCGCTCCAGGCCCCGTCGGGGCCCGCTCTGGCAACCGCGCGGGTTGTGTTGCTGGTCGCCCAGGGGCCTTCCGAGGCCCCAGGCTGCGCCGGGGGGGGTCCCGCTGGGCAGTCTTGCGCCGCTGTGCCGGGGGGCAGCGGCAGCGCGCTCGGCTGCCCGCGTGCTGCTGCAACTCCCCGCGGGGTCCAGGCCACTGCTTGTGGTGCTCCGCGTGTGCTTGGCCCCGCCGAGGCCTGGTCGTCGTATTGGGGCGTGTTGGACAGCTTGTGCGGTGCTGCCACCAGACAGAACGTCGACATGATGACGGCGCTGAGCCGGGACAGGCGGTGCTCTTTCAGGCACCCAGATGGCGCCCCGCCCCGCGTGGTGCTGCAGGCCATGAGCGAAGCTCGTGCTCAAGGTGCGGACGTGCTCCGGCTGGCCGACACAGTTGCTGAGAGCCGGTTTCTGTGCAAAACGGTACCGTCTACACTAGTTACATACGCGTCGCATCTGCGTATGGTTGCACGGGCTTCCGAGCTCTTGGGTGAGCCCCCGCTGGGGTGCAGTGTGCAGCACATTCGCCGCGTCGCGGCGGTGTGTGCGTGCGCGTCAACGCAGCGTGGTTGGTTGAGCGCGTGGGCCCTGGCGCACCAGATGGCCGGCGTGCCGTGGCAGGGTGACCAAGATGTCATTTTGAAAGGCATCAGGCTCGGCACCGCGAAGTGCCGGACGCCCAGATTGCCGAGGCAAAACGTTGATCGCCGGCTTTTGCGGCGTTTGCTCCGCCATGCGTGGGCACACCAGCGACAGTGGTGGTGCATCATCGCCGTCTTGGCATACAGTTTTCTGTTGCGGATGCCCTCTGAGTTGTTCACGCAGTGCAAGCGTCATCTTGTACAGGTCGCTGGGGGGCGTTTTATCTATGACCCCATCCAGCGAAAGCAGCGGGTGGATCTGTGCACCCTTCATGCTTTTTGCTTGTGCGGCACGGACGAGGGCATTTGTTTGCACACTTGGCTTCCTGTGTGGGACCATGCGATAGCAGCTGGGGGCCCTCCGTTTGGCGGGTATACGCCTGCGACGTGGACGGCCGAATTCCGGCGCCACTTGCAAGCCGTCGGGGTCGCCAACCCCGAGGTGTGGTTTGGGCGCGATGTCCGGCGCGGAGCTGCGAGCGACGTCTTTGCGGCCTCCGGAGTCGAAGCCATGCTTTCCCGTGGTGGCTGGCGCTCTGTCACGTCTGCGCGACCGTACGTGTCGGGCGACGAAGTTGCAGCTGGCCTGCTCGTGCAAGGGGTCATCGATGATTCGGGCCCCGAGAATTGAGCGCGGCCACGTGGGCGCGCTTGCCCGCTGCACCGTGGCCACCCCCCTTTTCCGTTCCATTGGCATTGGGGCCGGGGTGTGACCTCGTGTGCGCGACTTGGCCAATGAAGAAAAGAAGGCGTAGGAGGAGGGATAGGAGCAGGAGCTAACGCGGATTCACAAATGTGAAGCGTAGTTAGTCTCTCTGCGCCCTCCCTCCGCACTTGCTTGCATCCGTCTCACTTCCCCCTCTGCTCCCCTTGTCTTCTCCGCAGTCTTTTGGGTCACAGGGGGGGCCGCTTATCCCGCCCTCCCACCCTCTTTCTCCCTCTGGCGCCGCTGCGCCTGGGGGCCCGGGTGTGACCTCGTGTGCGCGACTTGGCCAATGAAGAAAAGAACGCGTAGGAGGAGGAATAGGAGCAGGAGCTAACGTGCATCGGAAGCGAAACGGCGAGGCGGCGACAACCATTTATTTTCCATGTGTGTTTGAAGGATATTGGCCCTTTGGGGACGAACGCTATCTTGAGTCATCTTCGGCTATCTTGGCACGCCCTGGAGGCCATCTTGGAGCATTGTAAGTGCTCTTGGAGCCATCTGGGGCCCTCCTGGGCGCCCTAACTCGCCGCGAAACCTGCCAAACATGATCGGGGCGACGGTCCCAACAATTTGCAGTTGCGAGTGTCGCCGTTGTGAGTATCGACTTCGGTGCTATTTCTGGGGCCACGACGCGTGTAAAGGCTGTGCGAAATGTGGCGGGGACGCATGCGGGCGCAACCATTGTGGTCTTCGGTGGCGCTCCATTGTATGGGGCCACGAAACGTGTGAGGGGTGTGCCGACATGGAGTGGGCCGCCACGCGAACGTCGCCACTGGGGCAATCGGTGGAGCTCCCTTGTGGGACCACGACACGCTGTACTGAGTGGGGAAGGCGTATGCGAACACCGCCACTGGGGGGTGGAGCTCCCTATGGGGCCACGAAGCGCTGTACTGGGCGGGGGAGACGCATGCGAACATGGCCACTGAGACCTTCGGTGGAGCTCCCTATGGTGGGGCCTTCGGTGGAGCTCCTGATGGGGCCACGAAACGCTGTACTGGGTGGGGGAAGCGCATGCGAGCACCGCCACTGGGGCCTTCGGTGGAGCTCTTTCTGGGGCCACGAAGCGCTGTACTGGGTGGGGGGAACGCATGCGAACTCCGCCACTGGGGCCTTCGGTGGAGCTCCCTATGTGGACACGAAACGTTGTATTGGGCGGGGGATACGAATGCGAACGCCGCCACTGAGACCTTCGGTGGGGCTCCCTACGGGGCCGCAGCACGTTGTACTGGGTGGGGGAACGCGTGCGATCACCGCCACGGAGGCCTTTGGTGGAGCTCTGTATGGGCCCACGAAGTGCTGTATTGGGTGGGGGAGATGCATGCGAACACCGCCACTGGGGCCTTCGGTGGAGCTTTCTATGGGGCCACGAAGCGCTGCATTGGGTGGGGGAAGTGCATGCGATCACCGCCGCTGGGGCCTTCGGTGGAGCTCCTGATGGGGCCACGAATCGCTGTACTGCGTGGGCGAAACGCATGCGAACACCGCCACTGGGGCCTTCGGTGGAGCTCCCCATGGTGCCACGAAGCGTTGTACTGGGGGAGGCGCATGCGAACACCGCCACCGGGGCCTTCGGTGGAGCTCCGTATGGGTAGGGGGCTTCGGTGGAGCTCTTCATGGAGCCACGAGGCGCTGTACTGGGTGGGGGAATCGCATGCGAACGCTGCCACTGGGGCCTTCGGTGGAGCTCCCAATGTGTCCACAAAGCGCCGTACTAGGTGGGGGGAAGCGCATGCGAACACCGCCACTGGGGCCTTCGGTGGAGCTCCTGATGGGGCCACGAAGCGCTGTACTGGGAGGGCGAAGCGCATGCGAGCACCGCCACTGGGGCCTTCGGTGGAGCTCCCTTCGCGGCCACGGAACGTGTGAGGGGTGTGCCAAAATGGGGTGCCGAGGACAGGCAAGGAGGGGAAGGGCAAAAGGAAGGATTAGACGCGGGGCGCTGTCTCTTCAAAGCGAGGAGCCAACACCGGATGGTTGGGAAAAGCATTGAGAGGGGGAGGTAAACCTCCCTGAAGGGAAGAGGATCTTGGACGAAGAAAGAAACATATTTTTAGACCACCTTAGCCAATGGGGCTGGTGGGATTACACCGAGACGGTCTGCCACCTCCGCAAGATCGTAGACACGCATGAGGACGGCTACTCGTACGAGTTCCACGGGAGGTTCGCTGGTCTTACCGGAGTCTGGAATGACTACATGCTCGCGTATCATGCCCTGCAGCGCGAAGCCGAGACTGATCAGAGGCTCAAGGTCCTGCTCGTCGAGTACGAGAACCTGGTGATAGACCCAGAGAAGGTGGTGCGCCGGATAGCACAGGCCATGGGGGCGGACCTCAAGGGCCCGTTTCAGGGGCTCGAGCAGATGGCCAAGCATCACGGCTCCTCGCATGGGCGCCAGAAGGCGCTGCAGAGCATCGAACACATGCAGTATCTAGAGTCCTGGATGAGCCCAATGGAGGCGATGCTGGGTCGCGATGCGCGGGCAAAGGTGTGCGGACACTTGGATGCAGAGATGATGGCAGCCCACGTGGTGAACACCTCGAATGGGTCGCGCTCATACCTGGCCGACTGCGACTTCGGCCGCTGACCAGCGGGACTGCTTTTCTGTTCCGAGGCAAGTGGGCGGACCGCCTCCACGAGGGAGCCACCCGCCGCCTAGTCTCACCCGCCGCCTAGTCTGTTGGACCACGGAGGCACAGGGAGGATAATGAGGGGGCGGAGGAGGGGGAGGAGGAAGAAGAGGAAGAAGTGAAGGAGGAAAGGGAGGAGGAGGAGGAGGAAGAGGAGGAGGAGGAGGAGGCAGAACGCAACCCTGATCGTCAACGAAACATAGAAAACCAAGCAGTACCGTGCGATGCACAGCCACCCAGCGAGCCAGCCTCCGATCAACCAGGCAACCAGCCAACCAAGCAGCCAGCCAGCCAACCAGCCAACCAGCCAAGCTGGCAACCAGCATTCCGGCCAACTAGCCAGCCAGCAAGCCCGCCAGAAAACCAGCCAACTCGTGATATTTGGAACTCTCCTGTGGGACGGGGCCAGGGTCCGCTGGAAGAGTGGCCACAGCGACATCTCCCCACAGTGCGCTCTGCAGCTGCACTCGGCGCGCCGACAGTATTGTGGTCGCGAGGGGTCACGGACCCAACCTTCGAAACACACAATGGCGCCGCCCCCCCTCCCCCTATGGAGATGGGAGGATGAGGGGGAGGAGGGTGTAGCGGATAGGGGGCCAAATGCGAACCTTACCCCTACCCTCCACGATCTCTGAGGGTCGGGGTGGGGTTCACTTCGTTCGGGAGCTCCCGAGCGAAGTGAACCCCACCCTCCCCCTCAGAAATCGTGGGTGGTAGGGTTCGTATGTGGCCCCCCAAGCGGAGGGCGAGGATGCGGGGAAGGACACACGTGTGCAGCTGCGCTCAACGTCCGTTGAGTGCGGCTATGAATTTCTGGGTTCAGGATACGGCCCGACCTTGAAGGCACCAGGGGCCCGTTTGGAAGAAGGCATGTGGGGAACGCCCTGATACTTTGGCTAGCATAAAGGGGCTCCTTGGAGCGAGCAGGGCGAGGAGTCGGTGATCATGCCTCCTTCTTGTGGCAAGGACCGATCGTCGCCGTACTGCCGTCGCCCAGCATACATGGCGGAGCGCTTGCCGCCAGAGCTAGTTCCGCACATAAGCCTGAACGCCGTCAGAGCGGGGAGTGGGGAACGAAGGCAGTAGAAAGGGAAACATGTTCAGCTGCATTTAGCGTTCATCACGTGAAGCTGCAGATCTCGGGGTGGTGCGGGTGTGGGAGGGATCTCAGTGCCGACCTTCGAACGGAAGTCGTCGGTGGGAAGATAGGGGGTAACATCTGCAGCTGCAGTGACGCTTGTGAAGTGCAGCTGAAACCCGTGTCTGGCGTGGTCCGAGGGTTCGCCTGAGAGGTCCTAGGGTCTCTTTTGACACGCAAGGCAGGGGAGACTAACATGGACGACGAGGTCCAGCTGCATCTCACGCCTGTTTTGTGCAGCTGGAGTTCTTGGAGGGGTCCGAGGGCCTACCTTGAAAGGCGCGGAACCCGATATCGCTTTGTTTTCGAACCTGAGCGCTCCCGAAGCTTAAGCATGAATCAGGTAGAAAGTCAGGTTGCCGAGAAACAGTTTGAGAGGGTTGTATGAATCGAAGACGAAGCCTGGGTGGCACAACATGTGCAGCATTATAGTTATAATATGAAGCGCTCCCTACACCTCGATTCCTGGTATTCCTCCTCCTCTTTCGCTTCCTCTTACTTTTCCTCTTGATTTTTTTTCCTCTTGCTGCTCCTCTTCTTCTCCCGCTCGGGGCCCACTTGGCACTCTCCTGGGGGCTTCTTGGGGGCTTCCTCGGGGCGTTTTTCAAGGAAAGGGCTCAGGCCCAGTGTTCTCCTTAGGTCGTGCTCCATCATCAACGTTCTAGCTGGGCCGGCGCGTTCTTTCCCTGAGAAATAACGAGGTTGGGCCGGATGTTTAAACATGTCTCTGGCGAAACGCTCGGTTTCGGATTTTCTCCGGACAAATATCAGATTACGTGCTGCCTTCTTGGTAGTGGGGGCGAGAAGGCATTCCGTGCGCCCGCCCGAGGAAGCTGCGCCCCCGCATCGGATCTTCGACGCATCGTGTCCGCATGCCCCCCGCTTTCCTTTGTCAGAGTGAGGGTGCGGAGCGTATGGTGCGGAGCCCCGGGCGAACCGCAGTGTGCATAGTTTCAGAAGTTTGTAAGGACATGTCAGAACATGGTGGTGTGTGTGTGTGCCTGCTCGAGGGTGGCGACAGTGCCGAGGGTCTGGATCCCCGCGGTGGCCTGAAAGCTGAAACCACTTGTTTCCACATCAGCTTCGTTCGCCCGCAAGCCTCGGGATCCACAACACGTGGGTTCCTTTCACCCGCGAGCTTCAGGACACACACACACACCAAATAATCGCATGAATTCCTTTCGCCCGTAAGCCTCGCGACCCGCAGAATACATGGGTTCTTTTCGCCTCGGGGCTCACAACACACACGGGTTCCTTTTGTCCGTGAACCTAGGGCCCGTCAAAACACATGTTTGCTTTCGCCCGTATGCCTATGGACTCTCATTTGTGAGGATCCGCTGTTTCTCCCACCCCTTCCTCCATCGTGTTTGTCGTCGTCGTCCGTCGTCGTCGTCGTCGTCGTCGGCGGCGGCCGCGTTTCGGTCCGTGCCTTCTCGGTGCGTTTCGTGTCGGGTCGCATTCGCCATCTCTCGGTTCGTGCCGTTTCGGAATTGAGTCGAATCTTGATCTCGAGCTGGCTGAGCGCCCCACACGTTTCGACTGCGACCAACTCTGGGCAGCTCTGGGCAAGTCATGTGCTCAGCCAGCTCGAGCTTAAGACTCCGATCCGTTCGGTCAGGATTCGGACGCCAAGGGCGACTCGAATTAGGCCCGTCCTGGGCCCCTCTTGGGCATCTTGAGGGTCTTTGGAGACCCTCTTGGGCCGTCTCGGACCCTTCTTTAGGCCGTCTTGGGGGTCCTTTTTGGCCATCCTGGGGCCCTTTTGAGACCTTCTTCTTGCGCACCTCTTGGAGGCACTTCGCGCCATCTTGGAGGCACTCTGGGCCGTCGTGGGCTTCGGGAAGCCCGAGAATGTTCATGGCGCGGACACCTTTCAAGCATTGGGAGAATATAGCGGATTTCTGCCTCTGGAGGCTCTCTTGGAGATCCTCCTGGGGCCTTTGGGGCGTCTGTGGGGGCGTCTTTGGCCGTCTTCGCATCATGCTGGAGCGTCTCGGGCCCCTCTTGTCTTGGGCCGTCTTGGGCTCTGGAGGCTCTTTTCGGAGCCTCCTGGGCCCGTCTTCAATCCATCTTGGGGGGCCCTCCTGGCAGCGCGGCCGCGTCCGTATAGGAATCCCGGGGCAGCCCAGGCCTGGCAGGAATTTGATGGCTACCCCCCCCAGGTAGCTGTTCTCAGCGCCGCGGGCCCTGGTAGGTAGTAGAGAAGGAGATGAGGGATGTATCGACCCCCAATCGCACATGCATCGCCGATGGGGGACCGAGAACACACCCCGCCCAGGAGCGTGCGTATGGGCCACTGGGGGCCGATCGCCCATCTGTCGGCGATGCATCGCCGATTCCAAGTCGCCATGTCCCCCACCTGAGCCAGTCTACCTATCGCTGCTCCTCACCTCCTCCCGGTCCTTGCCTGAGGCTCGCGCAAGCGAGCACTGCGGACGACCAGCTTCTGAAATCTGAACCCTCTGCGCTTTTTTGAAGGGTCGAGCTACCCTGCGCAATCGGAGCAAGCTCTGGCTAAGGCGGCGTCGGGCTTGCTTGCTTTTTATGTTGAGGCGCGCTGGGCAGCTGTGGACAGTATTCTCTATTGCAGGTTGTTCTGCAGTTCGCATCATCGTGTCTTGTAAGTTGTCATCTGACCAACCTCGGCTGCTAGCGCAATCTTCCATGGCTGGCCCGATGGTCCACCCTTTTTCTTTCTGTTGTCACTGCGCCCTTCACTTTTGTACCGCTTTGTTTTGCAGCCTCTAGAGACAGCGATCATGACAAAACTAAGCGTGCCTGCTTCCGCCTCCCTCCCTCCCTCCCTCCCTCCCAGGAGCCACCTCTGCAAGTGCGGGTCTGCCTCCGCGCGGCCATGGCCGCGGCCAGCGGGCCAGGGGCTCTCTCTCTCTCTCTCTCTCCCTTCTCTCTCTCTCTCCCTTTTTTTTTTTTTTTCTCTCTCTCTCTCTCTCTCTCTATCCAGACCTCCCGCGCCGTGGCATTTTCACGGCGCGGTCCCCGCAGCTGTCGACCCCAACCCCGAGGGGGACCAGGCTCCCGCCGCGGTGCCGAGCTTGGTGGCCCGCAGGGGGCCCGAGGGCCGACCCATGGGGGGCCAGGGTCGCTCCTGATCTTCGTGCTGGACCCAGAGGAGGAGGAGGAGGAGGAGGAGGAGGAGGAGGAGGAGGAGGAGGAGGAGGAGGAGGAGGAGGAGGAGGAGGAGGAGGAGGAGGAGGAGGAGGAGGAGGAGGAGGAGGAGGAGGAGGAGGAGGAGGAGGAGGAGGACGGGACGGCCTGGCGGCAGAACATCCAGCTTCATCATCAGCTAGCGCCTGGATGCCTCCTCCTTGGCCCGAATTCGGGCTGCTAACTCTCGCAAACGGTCCGAATCGACCAAACGCGAGGAGCCTGCAGCACAGGAGCCTGGAGGGGCAAGGAGCACCGACTTGGGCGGCGCCCGAGCAGGAGCCACCGAATCATCACCCTCAGGATTCTTTCTGTAACGAGGGTGGTGGCCAGCGCGGAGGCGAGCTAGCACACTAGCTCCTGAGGTGCCCAGCTTCCTCTCACAGTCCTGGCCCAGCAAGTGGCAACGCCTGCTGGTGTAGGCACCACAGGCGAAGCAACACATCAGCGGTGTTTGGGAGTTGTTCAAGCCAGCAGATCCCAACCTATGGTGCCTCTCTGTCTCCGCACCACGGAGGCGTCGGAGAGCAGTGGAAACGCCAGCACAACCATTCATAAGTCGGGACTCGCCGTCGAACGAAATCATGAAACATCGCACACGTCGAAAGGCGTTCTGCTCGCTGTCCAGATCTTTCCGCTCATGCCAGTCAGGTGGGAGCAGCACGCGAGGCAGACATCTTTCCTTCGGGGCTCTCTCGAAGGCCAGTTTAGGGAACAACGGGAGGGCACGCCCGAACATCTTAGCACAGGAGCGGAGCCTGAACCCGAACCCGCTTATCCAGCTCCTCCAGATCAGCGGGTGCAGGCTGAGGGTGGAGCGAGAGGGCGAACCTGGCCAGGCGATCAGCATCCTGGTTCGCCAGTGCGATTCGCTTCTGGGCCGGTAGCAGCGCCTGAATTACTGCCTCAGATCGATGGGTTGGGGTATGATAGGCCTCTCCAAGGGCCTCGTATCCAGCCGACTGCTGTGCCGCCCGACGAAGTCCCGCGAACATCTCTTTGAGACTAAGCTGGGCAGCGTCCGACACATTGTGCAGCCGTACCGCGCCTTTACAATCACCGTAAGGGGTTGGCATACCGAAACTAAAAGAACAGGCCGTGGCAAGGCTTAGGTTTTCGGCAGCCTGGGGCGTTTGGTGCAGCACAGACCAAACCGTGGCCAGGAAACGGGTCCGAACCCGGTACTCCTCTCCAGGTTGCAGGACAACTCCTGCAAAAGCAGCACGGTTTAAATCGAATATTGGATACTGCGTAGCAGAGCCGTCGACCACCAGATCGCAGCTCTCACTCCGCTCCACAAAATCTTCAAGCGATAATGGCTGCCCATTGGCATCTTGCAAGAGGGTATACGCCGAGGGAGGATGGAAGGACTTGCCGGGCTGCGCCATTATCAGACGGGACCAGAAAGCACGCTCTGCAGGCGCACTGTTCCTCGCAGCCTCGATTATGTCCGAGTCGAGGGCTTCACTGCGGGCCTCAGCAACCTCGGGGTCCTCATAGAGCCACTGGCGGTGAAAGAGAGAGTCTGGGGCCCCACACCTCGGACATTTGCATCCGAAACGTATCCCGACTCATGCAATCGGTCGGCCGTCCAGCAGCCGTTGGAAAAGCAGGGGCAGATCCAATACTTTGCTCGTGGCGTAGTTCGCCTCGAACGGAGGATGGAGCGGAGGGGGTCCACACACACACACACACGCACACCATCGAACGAGGGGAGGCTCGACGAGAGACGTCGTTCGTGGGATCTCTGGACTCCTGACTGCAACAAGCTAGCTACCATGGCAGGGCTATTGTGAACTGAATTTACATCATTACCTCGATCATCCCTCCAAACATTAAAACTAACAGCCTGCCATCCTCTACGCTCTAGGCTCAGAAGCATACGATGACCTGGTCCCCGAGAGTGCCGCCACGTAGAGGGCCCAAGACAGAGCTGCTGGTTCTCCTGGTTCCTCCAAAGCCTAATGTGGTCCCGAACTGAGAAGGGGCTGGTACTCGGAGTGGTGATACTTCGCCACGGACTGGTAGCCCACTGCCTCGCAGGAGCTGTCGCCTGAAGCCAGGCAGGGTCGCCGTGAATGCACACCTTGGCAGTGAGGGAAGCGCCTCGGTGTACGGGTGCAAAACCTGCCAGCAGAACACGACGGAGCTCATTTAGTTCTTGATCGGACATCCCCAGGACCTTGGACCCATATCCCGCAGCCGGCCTGACCCCGCAGATGTAGATTTTATTGCGAAGGCCTTACGGCCGATGCCGCCGACCCTGTAGGCAGCGACGACGAAGACAATGGAGGTAGATGAGTCCAAGATGCCCTCAGATGACTCGAAGACGGCGCCATATGTCTGCAAGGTCGTCCGAAGACAGCTCAAGAGGCCTCCTCCAGGGTTCGGGAACGGCTCCAGAGAGTGCCAAGATAGGCAAAGAGCGCCCTCAAGTGGCCCGAGAGGGTTCCAAGACGGCGTCAAGCGAGGTCCAAAAGCGCCCGCAGAGGCTGTCAAGAGTGCCGCCAGCGGCTGCCAAGAGAGTCTAAAAATGGCGAAAGGTCGCCATGGAGCCTTCATATAGGCTGAAAGGGCCCGCAGACGGCCCCGGAGGGCCAACGGAGCCCCAGGACGCATGAGGATGAGAGGCGGGGGGCTGCGTATCCGAGGGGGGACTCCCCCGGGAGTTGCCCCGGGACCCCCCCCCCCTCGGCGGGGAAGGGATCAAGGGAAGGGGCTTCCCTTCGACTGAAGGACGACGTTATTCAATTTTTGTGTGGACTTGTGTAGGGAGCCCTCGGAAAGCAGCAGAGGCGACGACGCTGTGGGGAAGACGGAAAAGCCTTTCCTACACGCCGACATGGTCGGCGGACTCATACGAGTTCGATCCCTTGGGAGCTGCCTTCTGAGATACCGGAGAAAACCATGACGTCTTTGCATGTCTCGGAAGAGTGCCTGCCTCTCGGCGCGTCCGCCTTTGCATGCCCTTCTCTGTCCTGGCACCGAGTCGCAGCCCAGGGAGACGGCAGAGCTGCAGGCGAGAGACGGGCAGTAGCGGGCCAACTTCTTGGCCAAGCGGGTGGCGACGCGCTGGGATGAAGCGAGAGTCGATGCCTTATCAGCTGCAAGCTCAACTCCCAGGCGCACCTGAAAAATATACTTCATGTCCGCAGCCGCTCGAACTAGATCACCAATTATCTCCTCCTTCTCCCCAAAACTCAGCACCGCATCATCATCGATAGAGGAGCCCAGGGAGACCTGCGGATTTCGGATCACGAAATGGGCTTCTCCAGAGGTTATATAGGGTCTTGACGAGCACTCGGGGGATCCCCCAATACTCAGCACGTGCACGGAGCTATGATAACTTGAAAGACTCATAGTATTTCAAACCGTCCCACATGAAGCCTGCCGTTACCTGGCCCTGAGAGGCGGCTTCCTCAGCCAACATACTTGGTTGCCAGGCCGCAGCCTCCGAAGACCGACCCGCTTCAAGAAGAGAAGGAGGAGGAGGAGGAGGACGCGGAGGAGGAGGAGGAGAATGAGGAGGAGGAGGAGGATGAGGAGGAGGATGAGGAGGAGGATGAGGAGGAGGATGAGGTTCGACGCCAATATAGGGAAGTCCAGAGGTCGGAGAGAAAGGGAAACACGGGGTGGGGTGCCCATCGACGGAGTCCTTTTTGCACCCAGCCGAGGGTTCCATCCCCACGGTCCTGGGCCTTGCCGACAGGGCACCCCATCCCAAGCAGCGCTAGTCGAGGTCCCCACCCTCGAACTGCGCTGCTCTGCGAGCTTGGGATGCAGCAGGGGCCTCGACGGCACGTCGCCCGAGCTCCGCAGCAAAATCTCTGGACTCGAAGCCAAACGCCATGAGCACAAGCTCGACACTCGGCATCGATGGGGGCCCGCGGGCCCGAAAAGGGGCCGAGGCGTGACGGCGGCCTGGGCTCCTCTCCTGCCACGCCAAAGTGAGCCGCCCACCTCACTCGGGTGGCTGCAGAGGGGACCCGAGGCTCGTCCGAGGAAACACCAGGATCAGTACACCTCAGGCGATGCTTAAGAAAACTTAAGTTTTCGGCCAGAGTCTCGATTATTCTTAACGTTTCAATGTAAATCTTAAGATTTTGATAGAAACCTTGGGTTTTTGTTCAAGTTCTGAGACTATGAATTTCTTAACCCATGATTTCTTAAGCATTTCGCAGGGTGTAGGGTGGATGCGGTCCCTCAGGCGATCACGGACGGTGCAGGATGACCCACCCCTTCCCCCGCCGAGGACCTGCGCACACGCCAGACAGACCTCTCTGCCTGCAGTGCACAGCATACTTCTAGCAGGTCGTGCAAACAGTTATTGGCTCCGGCCCGGAGGCACCCGCCTCTGAGATCGAGCGACCGTTTTCAGCTTCCGCGGCATCCGAGTGCCAATGCCGACCCCCTCATCTTCCGCCTCCTCGGCCCCCTCCCCGTCCCAGCCATTCTCCCCAACAGCCTCCGCCCCACCCCCACCAGCAGCAGAAGCAGCTGGTGGTGGTGGTGGGTTGCGGTGGTGGTGGTGGTGGTGGTGGTGGTGGTGGTGGTGGTTGTGGTGGTGGTTGTGTTGTGGTTTGTTGTGGTTTGTTATTGTGTTGGTGGTGGTGGTTGTGGCGGTGGGTGGTGGTGGTGGTGGTTTGGTGGTGGTGTGGTGGTGGTTTGTGGTGGTGGTGGTGGTGGTGATGGTGGGTGGTTGTGGTTGTGGTGGTGGTGGTGGTTTGGTGGTGGTGTGATGGTGGTTTGTGGTGGTGGTGGTGGTTTGGTGGTGGTAGGTTGTGGTTGTGGCGTTGGTTTGTGGAGGTGGTGCTGGTCGTGGTGGTGGCGGTGGTTTGGTGGTGGTGTGGTGGTTTGTGGTGGTGGTGGTGGTGGTGGGTTGTGCTGGTGGTGGTGGTGGTGGTGGTTGTGGCGGTGGTGGTGGTGGTGGTGGTGGTGTGCTAGACTGGCGGTGGTGGTGGTAGTGGTGGTGGGTTTTTGTGGTGGTGGTGGTGATGGTGAGTTGTGTTGGTGGTGGTGGTTGTGGTGGGTTGGTGGTGGTGTGGTGGTGGTTTGTGGTGATGGTGGTGGTGGGTTGTGGTGGTGGCGGTGGTTTGTGGACGTTTGTTGTGGTGGTGGTGGTTGTGGCGGTGGTGGCGGTGGTGGTAGTGGTGTGGTGGTTTGTGGTGGTGGCGGTGGGTTGTGCTGCTGGTAGTGGTTGTGGCGGTGGTGGTGGTGGTGGTGTGGTAGATTGTGGTGGTGGTGGTAGTGGTGGTGGGTTTTTGTGGTGGTGGTGGTGGTGATGGTTGTGGTGGTGGTTGTGGTGGTTGTGGTGGCTGTGGTGGTGGTGGTGGTTGTGTGGTGCTGTTGGTGGTGGTGGTGGTGGGGTTTGAGGCGGTGGTGGTGGTGGTAGTGGTGGTGGTGGTGGTAGTGGTGGTAATCGTCGTTGCGTCCCCGCCGTCGCCGGCGCCAGCGCCGGCGCTGCTGGCCGCCGCCAGCGCCGGCGCCGACGCGAGGGGGGGTGGGGTGGGTGGGGGTTTGAACCCCCCCCACTCCCCGGCGCCAGAGGGGGGGGGGGTTGAACCCCCCCCTCCCCCCCTGGACCTGCCTCTGGTCATCGTCGCTGCGTCCCCGCCGTGGGCGCTGCTGACAGCCGCCAGCGCCGGCGCTGGCGCCAGCGCCGAGGCGGGTGTGGGGGGGTTCGGGAGAGGGGGGGCTTGGGGAGGAGGGGAGTCCCTTGGGTTTTGATCGGCGGCGCCGAGTGTTGGGGGGGGAAGGGGGCCCACCCCCTGGTTTGAAACGCGCCGCCGAATGTTCCCAAGGCAAGCGCCCGTGAAACGCGTTTTCTCGCATGTATTTATGCCTGTATGTCTGCCTGTATGTATGTATGTATTTTTGCATGTATAGGTGTATGTCTGTCTGTCTGTAGATATGCATGTATGTATGCATGCATGCATGTATGTGTGTATGTATGTTTACATTTGTATATACATGTATGTGTGTATGCATGTATGCATGTATGCATGCATGCATGAATGTATGCGTGCATGTATGTATGTATGTATGTATGTATGCATGCATGCATGCATGCATGTATGTCTATATGCCTGTATGCATGTATGCAGGTATTCACGTATGCACGCATGTCTGTCTGTCTGCCTGTCTGTCTGTCTGTCTGTCTGCCTGTCTGTCTGTCTGTCTGTCTGTCTGTCTGTCTGTCTGTCTGTCTGTCCGTATGCAGGTATGTATGTATGTATGTATGTATGTATGTATGTATGTACGTACGTACGTACGTACGTACGTACGTACGTATGTATGTATGTATGTATGTATGTATGTATGTATGTATGTATGTATGTATGTATGTATGTATGTATGTATGTATGTATGTAGGGTTTTTGAAGTAACACACATACATGCATATAACTAGTGTATACGTAAATACAGGGCATGCGTTTTTTTATCGCTCTCTCTCTCTCTCTCTTCATGTATCTCGGTACACGAAGACCTGCAAGACGTGCAGAGCGATAACTAGGACGAGGGAGAGACGGCATGCAGCGCGGCTACCCAAATCGCGACTGTGAGTTACTGCGCCTCACATGCTCAAGCGCCCCAACCAGGGCCAGGAGCACAGACCGCCCTCGTGGGCAGGCCGGCGGGCGTGTGCCGACTTGAAGTTTGAGCTTCTTGAAGTTTGCTACAGGTTGAGAGGCTGCTCCTCCTCCTCCTCCTCCTCCTGCTCCTCCTCCTCCTTCCTCCTCCCTCCCTCCTCCTCTCCTCCCCTTCCTGCTGCTCTTTCTTCTCCTTCTCCTTCTCCTCCTCCACCTCCTCCTCCTCCTCCTCCTCCTCCTCCCTCCTCCTCCCCAGCCTCCTCCTTCTCCTCCTCCTCCCCAGCCTCCTCAGCGTCTGGATTCTGGGGCGCGACCCCGCGGATGCGAGGTCGCACGGAGACCTTCCGCGCGGGGCGTCCGCGAGCGAGCGCCCCGCATCCGTGGGGCCGCGGCACGGGGGCCCGGGCCCGCGAGGCCGCGCGCATGGACAGGTTTTGCGCCCACGAAGGAGGCACAGGAGGCACCCGTACGGCACGGCCACCGCCCTGGCCTTGTCCTCTCCACGGAGTGCACCTGTGCACCACCACCACGCATGTCTAGGGCCATCTCGGGCCCCTGAGGATGGTGTGCGGACTCTGCGAGCGGACCCCCCCGTCAGCCCTCGGACCGCCCCCTCGAACCGACCCCTCGGATCCTTCCCCTCGGACCCCCTCCCAGCCTCGGCCAGGATGGCGTACAAACCATGCCTGGGGCCCGGGATGGCCCTGGCCAGGCATTGCGGTGGTGCATTGGAGCCTTCTGCGTATCCTTCTCCCCCTCTCCCTTCGGCTCCCGCCAGTGGTGCCGTCCTGTCCTGACGTCCCCGTCAGGATCGTCCACTCTCAGCGCCGTCGACGGGGAGAAGCTCCAAGTCGACGACGGAATGAGGATGCCGGTGTCGCTCGTCGACGTACAGCTGGAGGAAGGGTGTGGTTTCGGGCTGTTTTGAGCACGCGCGGCACCGCGCAGCGCTGCTACCGAACTCCGCCGCCACCAATCGGCCTCGCCCCTCCCCTCTCAGCATCCTCGCGTCTCGTTCTGTTCCGACCCATGTTCGTAGGGTGGTGGGAGGGAGGAGAACTGGCCATGGGTATGGGTTCGGGTTGTCGGACCCCAGGGGGGGCTCCCATTCGAGCGGGGACCTCCATCTGACAACACGCACCCATAGCCCCCTCCGTCCCTTGGCGTGTTGTTCGCTCGTCGCGACTCTGCTCCGCACGCGTGTGCCGCACGTGGCCAGCGACCCGCTCCCCGCAGTATCCAGCCAACCCGACTCCCCCTCTCCGAGCAGCCCCTCGCCCTTCCCCTCCGAACTCCTGCGCTCTCCTGCCCAACTGTTGTTCTTCTGCGCAGCTGCGTCGCAGAGTTCGAAGCTGCAGTCAACCCTCATAGTAAGGACGGGCAACCTTCCCAAGGGTACCCTTGCATCCTTGCCTCCTCGGTGCATCCTTGGCCACTTTCGTTGGCCGCGCCCCGCTCGAAAACTTCGAAATGGGCTTCCAAGGCCCTTGCATCCTTATCGCGCATCCTCAGTATCCTGGTTCACTGTATTCATGCTGCGCCTTTCGTCCTTCTTCTGTCATCGAGCGTTCGTGCGCCCCCCCCCCGCCTCAGCCGCTCCTCCTTCCAGCTTCCTCCGCTCCCTCACTGGCATGGCTTCTGAGAAGAGGCCCCGAGGTGCCGAAGATGCGTCGAAGGCTTAGAAGAAGGGCTTCTCAGACGGCTTAACAAAGGCACTTGATGGGCCCACCATGCTTCCAAGAGTGCCCCAGATGCCTCCGAGAGCCCCAGCACATGCCTCGAACGCACCCGAGACGGCCCGTATAGCCTCCGAGACGAGTCCAAGATGGCCGACATACCGTCCCAACAGGGCCCAAGATTGCCTCGAGGCCTTTGAAACCGGCCCCGGCAGGCCCGAAGGGATCCCGAAATGGCCTCGAGATGGCCTCAAGAGGGCTTCAAGAGAGCCTTAGCTAGTCCCAAGAATGCCCCGAGATACTCCCTCCTCACCCTGCCCCTTCGCCGTTCCCTCTCGCAGGAGCGAGGGCACGCGTGCCGTTTGTTGCAGATGCTGCTCTTCCCACCTGCACAGCCCGACCTGGCCGCCATCGCATGCATGATATGTACGAGGCCATGCTGCCCTCGTATATGTACGAGGCCATGCTGCCCTCGTCTGCACCCTGCACCCTTTGGTCCCCTGTGCGCTTGCCTCTGCAGTCCACGCGCTGAAGTAGGGACCGCTTTGGGCTCAGGAGGGGGCCCGGGCTTCCGGGCCGTTCCTCGGCCATTCCGTCGTGGCACCCGCCTGCGGCCTCGGCCCGCCGTGCCCAGGAGCGCCCCGTCGTTCCTCGTGATGCGTTCCTTCTGCTCGCACGGCGGGCTGTGGCATCTGCCTCCTCTCGTCCTCGCGTCCTCTCCTCGCCTCTCCTCTCCGCTCCCTGCTGCCCTCTCTCGTCGCCGCTCCCCGCACGGTCGCCGCCTCCTGGTCCCTCTTCGCCTGGTGCTGGTCCGTCCCCGTCTCAGCACCGTTCGCAGCGCAAGCTCAGGACAAGAGCGGCGCGGCGCTGCTGGGGAAGGCAGATGCCTTCCGCGCGGAGCGCGGGGCGTGGTCGGTCATCCTGTCCAGCAGCAAGCCGGGCGCCCGTGCGGGGAGGGCGCGCAGGTGGGAGGTGTGCTTGCAATAGTCGGCGCCTGGATGCAGCAGCTTGCGCGCTGGACGCTGTGCTTGCACGCGGATGCACTCGTCCGTGCCCTTTCGCACGCGACAGTCGTCGCCCGGGCAGTACTTCGCGCGCCCCCGCAGCAGCTGAAGAGTAGGGGGAGGATGAGGAGGACGAGGAGGAGGAGGAGGAGGAGGAGGAGGAGGAGGAGGAGGAGGAGGAGGAGGAGGAGGAGGAGGAGGAGGAGGACAACGAGGAGTAGGAGGTGGAGGAAGAGGAGGAGGAGGAGGAAGAGGAGGAGGAGGAGGAAGACCACTGCACGCGCAGACGCCGAGATCAGGGCCCGCCTTGGGCTCACAGGAGGGGCCCCCCGGTTCCCGGCGCCGCTCCTCAGGCTCGGGCCGGGGAGCCCGCTCGTGGCCGAGGCTCGCCGTGTCCCCCGGGACCACCCCCGGGGACCCCCCCCCCTGGACCACCCCCCGGGGCCCTCGCCCTCCCCAGACCCCCTCGAGTAATGAAAAAATCATGGCGGGAGGTTTTTCCTAGTTTTCGGCCTCTGGGGGCCCTCACCGGGCCTCGGGAGCGTCAGAAAACGACTCAGGATGCAAAGCCGGTCATGGGGAAAGGGTCGGGACCTCTGGGGGTCGACGTAATGACAAAATCATTACGTCGGGGGTCTGGGTCCCCCCTCCCCGCCGCCGCCTGCGGCCTTCCCATTACAGACCAGGAGGCCTAGGCGGGCGGCATGAGGACGAGAGCTCGCGAACTTCTGCCACGCCTGCGTCCCACCACGCCCCTTCACCGGGGAAGGGGTCAACTGGAAGGGGCTGCCCTTCGACTCAGTGGCAAGGTTGCTCAGTTTCGCTGTGGACGGCTGGTGTATGTCGCTTCGGCTGGCGTGCTCGAGGACGAGGGCCCAAGGACAGGGGAGGAGCGGCGACGGACTCGGGGGAAGGAGGGGACGTGATGGCGACGGCGGCAGCGGCGGCGATGGCGACGGAACAGCCCTTGTCACACGCCGACAGGGTCGGCGGATTCCAGCGTCTTCCAGGGACGGAGCGGTCTCACACGGTCCCTGGGCGCGTGGCGGTGGTGGGGCTCCGCTGTGTGGCCTGTCGTTGTCCTGGTTCTTGCTTTCTTGATGTCGTCGTCGCGCCGTGGCCCGACCCGCGACACCCCCGCGACCCACCGCCGCCGCGACCCACTGGCGCCCCGCCCGCCCCGTGACCCACCCGCGACCCCGTGCGCCCAGCGTCTCACCCGCAACCCCACCCACGCAGCGACTCACCCGCGATCCACCCGCGACGCTGCTCCAACCAAGTCGACGCCAGCCGTTGGTCGATACCGGTATTGCCCACATTGCTTTCGATATCCACCCCGTGCCCACCCTCAACCCGCCGGGTACACATCCGAGATCGTTGGCCCTCAGCCGATACCCACCCGATGCCCACCCACGGCTCACCCGCGACATTGCACACCTAGATTGCTTTCGACACCAAGATCGGTACCTTCGGCGGGCTGTTTTGTATGCGTAGGTTTGGGGAAAACCAATCCATTGTGCGCCTCAGACTGGGTGCCACCTCACTCTTATTCTCAACTGCGGGGGACTACGCTAAGTATCATGTTCTGATACGTGTGAGGCGCGGGATTTCGGTCAAGCGCTATTGAGGTGTACCGCCCGCGATGTGTGGAGCAACCTGGATAATCTCTTCTGTGAATCAGTTTACGCTGTTGCGGGCGCTTTGGCCCCAACCCGCGGCCGTATTGGAAGCCGAAGTCAGCCAACTATTTTGCTGCCCGTCACGGATTCCACGACCGGCGTCTCTGGTCCAGATCCGAAAGAGGAGGCGGCAGCTAGTATTTGGACCCCTCCCACCTGCCTTAAATTGTAGCACCACCTTGCCCGCGGTCTTGTCTTGAACCAGGCAGCGTCAGACAATGCAGGGCAAGGTAAGATGAGCCTCCACGAGCGCGCCCAGAGTGCCTTGCTGGTCCAAGATGGCCTCTACCATGGATCCCAGAGTCCTAAGAAAGCCCCAAGATGACTCAGGTGTTCTGGGAGTCTCCCAGGGATGCCCCCACACCCCCGAGAGGCCCCAACCAGCTAACGTAAAAAGGAGGAGAAGGAGGAGGAGGAGGAGAAGGAGGAGGAGGAGGAGGAGGAAGAGGAGGAGGAGGAGGAGGAGGAGGAGGACGCGGAGGAGGACCCCATACCCCCGAGAGGCCCCAACCAGTGATTTCCAGGAACATGCCCATTTCAGCCAAGACGTTCAGGAGCACTCAGGGGCCTTTTTGTGCTTGTGCCTCCCTCCCTGGCTTGGCCTCGATCCTTGGCCTCTCCTGCGGGCGGACGCGGGCCGGAAGGGTAGAATCCCTGGGTTATGTTGGGCCCCCGTATCGGCGATGCTTGCGAGTCGCATGTCAATCCTGAGGTGCGCTCCAGGTACATGTGCTAGAGAGTACTCACTCACGCGAGCCTTGTGCGGAGGCCTTGAGCGAGGGACGCTGTGCGCCTTGTGCGGGGCTCTTCTGAGTGGCCCTTGGCATTGGAGCCGCGCTCGTGCTTGTGCAGGAGAAGGAGTTGCATAATAAGCACAGTGCATACGGTCCCCTTACGCAAAACCCCTTGTGCGCCCTGTGCGCTGGCACACTTCGCTCCGTTACTCTTTCTATTAAACATCACACACAGACGACTTACCCTCTCTAATCGCTCTGCTCTTGATCTTTTGTTTCCCCCTCTCTCTTTAATACGTGATTACACGTGCATGTTTCGATACACATGTGTATATATGTACGTATTTTCGATCAACACTGCTCTAACCTCTCTGATATGTACTCTGTACCCTCCACTATCTCATTGCTCTTGCTGACCTTGGTTGCACGTCCTGTCTCTCTCTCTCTCTCCTCCAACTCTCGTGCTCCATCTCTCTCTCTCTCTCTTTTGCTACTCCGCTGGCTATATCTACCGTCTCAACTAGCTGTGCTCTTAGCCCGTGTTCTCCTTTCTCTCTGCTCAAGTCTGCTTTCCGTTCTCAAACATCTATTCAGTCATCTACCCTCTGTTATCTACCCTCTCATTCTGATTGTGGTCGCAACGACCTGGGTACTTGGCCGCAGCTAGGAAATCGAGAGCCAGGGAACCTTGCAGTGCCAGGGCCCCTGGACCTAGAGCCTGGAATTTCGCCGCCCACCGAAGAAACTTGCCCGGAGTCCAGATTTTCGGGAAGCCGGGAGCCCGGGCCGCCCACCGAAATCGGTCTGGCATTTTCGCCAAAGCTTGCAGCTTCCGCCAGGACCCCTTCAGTGCAAGCGCTGCGTGTGGAGCAGATTCGTGTAAATACGGTCGGTTCCACTCGACTGGGTCCCCTAGGGGCGCAGGATAATGGCGGAAAATGCACGCTTGGCAGCTTTCAGGGAGGGCGAGGTCCCGTTTGGGCTCGAGTGTGTCACCGCTCCGCTGGACCCCCAGGGGTGGCACAGGAGAGTGGCGACAGTTTCAGTTGTCTGGCATTGCCCAGGGAGGGCGAGGGGGAGGAACAGGGAGGATGAAGGGAGGATGCCCTACCTTCAGAGTCATTGAATGCCAGGCAGGCAGCAGCTCGAGATAGAAAGCCGCCAGTGGCCAGTGGCAGCTGCGCTACCATGCGTTCGTTCAACTTGCGCCCCTGCTAGCTGGATTCACCAAGTGCGCCGAATCTGCATCTGCAGATGCCTGTAGCATAAGGATGGGAGGAGGAGGAGGTGCAGGAGGAGGAAAAAGAAGAATAGGAGGATGATGATGATGATGATGATGATGATGATGAGGAGGATAACCATCATGAGGATGATGATGATGATGATGATGATGATGCTGATGATGATGATGATGCTTATGATGATACTGATGATGCTGCTGCTGATGATGATTATTATGATGATCGCGATGATGATGCTGATGATGATGCCGCTGACGCTGATGATGATGCTGAGGATGATGATGATCATGCTGGTGCTGATGGTGATGATGGTGATGATGATGCTGATGATGATAAGGATGATGATGATGAGGATGACGATAGTGATGATGCTGATGATGATGCTGCTGCTGATGGCGATAATGATGTGAGGATGATGACGATGACGACGCTGCTGCTGCTGCTGGTGATGATGATGATGATGATGATGATGATGAGGAGGAGGAGGAGGAGGAGGAGGAGGAGGAGGAAGAGGAGGAGGAGGAGGAAGATGGGAAGGAGCAGGAAGATGAGCAGGAGGAGGAGGAGGAGGAGGAGGGAGAAGGAGGAGGAGGTTGAGGAGGAGGAGGGCAAGCTAGGTGCGCTCGCGCCATATCTGACATCCCATCCCTCCCACCCATCTCTTCCCACTGCGTTGCTTTTCTCTATCCGCAGACGGGTGTCATAGCGGACCTAGAACTCCAAAGAGGACCCCATTGTGTTATGCGCAATCAGAGAAGATAACAGTGAGCTGCGTACATGGGAAGAGAAGCGGGAGGTGGCGGATGAGCAGGAGAAGGAGGAGCAGGATGAAAAGGATAAGGATGACGGAGGAGGACAAGGACGAACAGCAGCACCAGGAATTGGAGTGGAAGGAGTGGGAGGAACAGGAGGACCAGGGGAAGGCGGAGGGGAAACGAGGGGGGTGACAACGATGGAAACGCAATTGGATCGAGAAAAGTGGCCCTCGCTGGGGCGAGAACGCCATTCGGAACGACGGGAGCAAAGCGCTGATCCGAAAAACGACGCACGCATTGCAGCGGGAACATCAGTTTGAACCACATAACTTCGGTCCAATCCAGTGCGTAACATATATCTTCGCGGATCGGTGACGGTGTCAGGAGAGCAAGGAGAGTAGTGCTCATATTATGCAGTTGTGAAGGAGGTTGGGGAGGAGGAGCAGGGAGGAGCATGCGGGGGAGGAGGAGGAGGAAGAGGAGGAGGAGAAGGAGGAAGAAGAGGAGGAGGATGAGAAGGAGGAAGA